AGCCTTCCATCTCTGCACAAACTTATCTCGTGCCCTCATTGGTCATGTGCGCGTTCGTGTGTGTTGGAAGAGGGGCTCTGTGAGGAAGTCTGAAGGAAGGGGCAGATTTTTTTCGGCTGTGTACTCGAGTTCTAGCGCACTCGAGCTGGTTTCACCATTCTTACCTACCCTACCTTTAAGTAAATATAAAATATAAAAATAAAGATTCATTAAGCTGTCAGGTGAAATCCTTTCTATTTGAGGATATTATCTGAGAATGACCCGAGTTGAACCTACATGACTAAAACAATGAGGAAATGTAATGTCCATAATTTACCTTGGAAATATGATTAATGCAGGCTGAGTTAGTGTATGAGATTGTGTGCATGATGCCCAGTGAGCACTCACATTAATTGGGTACAGTGTGGCCCACCACCCCCCCACTGCATCACTCGCCAGCCAGGTGGCAGGCTGCTGAGTCCTCACACACAAACACACACACCCACACAGAAACATACACTCACATACACCTCATGCAATCAGGTTGACACACAAAATCCTTTTTCTTCCTTCGTTCTTTAACTTGTGAAACTTGTCATTGTGGTGCACACAATGAAGTATTTCAAACCATTTTCTGACACATTCTGCAAGTCCTCAGTATCAATCATTATCCTTAGTTTATTTAATGACACTTCACGGGTAACAATAGGAAATGTGATGGTTTCTCCTTCTTAAATTAGATCAGATATTACGCTAAAACGCCCATTCACAGTGACAACAACAAAGGAGTAATGCGTCAGAGGTGACACTGCAGAGAAAGTATGTAAGATTTATAACAATACTGTATGATGAATAAGAGATTATCAATAATAAACATGGTGTGTGAGCCTTAACACAGCCAATAACTAAATGTAGGTAATAAATACAAGTGATGAACCAGAAACAAAGACAAATACAATAAGAACAAATCTTTTGAATTGAAAACAATCAAAGCCATATCTAAAAGACAAAAGTCTCAACAATTATTACGTTTCTCAACTAAAGAACTATTACAATGTATCTGTGGAGCATTTTGGCAACACTTACCACCATTCTTTAAACATTTAAAACACCAGAAGAAAAAATTATTAACTGGTTAATGTTTTTTTTTTAATTTACTATGAAATCATAATAAGCCGTATTGAAGATGTCAAATTTGGCCCTGACAACTTGTGATTGCTTTTTTTGTTCTTTTCTATATTTTTGATAAAACAGTCGATCTAAATCAATGTTATCCATACAGTGCATTTTACAAAATGTTGCATTATGAAAATTGCCCAGACAGAGCAACAGGAATCAATGGGCCTTGTACATTTAACACAGAGAATGTTGAGATTAAACAAATAATTACGGATTAAAGTCTGACGTTTTTTTTTAGTTTGATCAAAAATGTTTTGTTAGTGGGAAAGATATATGACTGTGATAGCTTGGACTCTTAAAATCTTTTTTATTTGAAGACTCAAGATTGGGTTTCTGTAACCTGTAATGCCATTTATTGCTTTTTTTTATATGTATAAGTACATAATTATGAATGAAAAAGGGTTCCAACAGCTTAATTTAAGACATTTTGAATGCCACTAGGATAACATTTTAGACCAATTTTCCGTCCATCAGCATGAAAAAAATAATGATGTTATCAATTTCTTTGAGATATAAGAGTACATTCAAAGAAACAAAATGATTCATAAGATCTTATTTTCCACATCTTATCATTTTTCAATCTTTGAAAGATTGATTTCTGTATTTTATTACCAATTAAGGCCTTAATAGCAACATTTTGCACCCAAAACCCACACTAACGCAAAAAGCCATGCTGAAAACAGGAACCCACCAATAGGCTGAAACACACTATTATATAATAGAAGGAGGAGCACACACACACACACACACACACACACACACACACACACACACACACACACACACACACACACACACACACACACACACACACACATCCACTGACCTGAGCCCACGGAGGCTGTGTAAAGCCCATCTCCATCTTGACTTCCTCTTGACAATCTGACTCTCCTCACACACACTGTGCAATGCACTCTCACACACACATCCAGACACACACACACACTATTCCAGAGACCAGCAGACAGGCAGGGAGTCTCACAGAGGAGTGCAGCAGAAACACACTCCGAGGAGGGGAAGATTCAGCAAGGGCGGGACAAAGAAGAAAGGAGGACACCTGATTGGCTGGAGCAGCTTCAGGAGCCAATGAGAGAGGAGGAAGGGGGGGGACTTCCTGTTTGAAGCATCTGTCTGTGTTAAAGGGAAACTTCTAAAAAACTATTTTTTCAGGCAACAAAAACTGTAACGACTAAAATTCGAGGATTCAAAGCTATTATTAGTCTTTTCTGACAGCAAAGGTGAATATTTTAGTGTTTTCATCTGATTGTCAAACAAAACAATAAATATGAACACATGAATCAAGGAGCAAGCATGATTCATATTTTCTTAAGGACCAGACTAAAGTACAAATCAAGAAACAGACCGAAGAGACCGAAGAGGGCAGCACATCCAACAAGCTGAAAAGGGAAAAAGTGTTTCACATTTTTGTATAAAAAATAACTCACACTTATTTCTATCTTTTGGAAAAAATTTAAATTGATGGTGAAACACTGAACGTCTAGTATAAATACCCTTACTCTCTCTGTTGAATTATATTTATATATAACAAAAATAATCAGGTAATCAAATGTTTTTCAAGAGCCCTGGATTATATATGTTTGGGTCAATATGGTCAATTGAGAAAATTGAAATGTGAATCTTCCGTGGATGAGAAGAAACACAAATAAATCAGGAGTTCATGACACAAACCTGCGCATACTGAATAAATGTTGTTTTTGGAAACAGGCAGAGCCAGAAAGGATGGTGACTCATGATGACATACCAGAGAGGTATTCAGACACCCACCCTCATACACACACTTTAAAATACTAGCTTAAGGGGTATAATGGGTATGAATATGCCCAAAGCTTAAACTGGTACTTTTCTCTTTGAAATGTGTCACAGAGAATAAGTATCCTGCCTTTAAACTATAAATCATCTACAGTGACTCTTTTATGCACAGTTCAAATTAATAATTACTAAAAACATCCCAATATTGTTTGAATAAACCCCTACTTTGTCTTTTGTTCATCCACCCCAAACCACTAAGTGCTGCAGAACTTTGAAGGTTAGTTTTTATGAGCAGGAAAATAAATAATGAAATCCTGAAGGTGAGGCAATAAGGAATGTGGAGAAGTTCAAGTGCATGACAGCAACAGAAAAACACCAAAAAAGGTTGATGAGATAAATGTAAATTCATACATGAAGCATACATGGTTTAATAAAAAGTTGTATGTACACTACGTGTTTTTTACAGACGTGCTCTCTCTTCTAATCTCTGAATAGTTCCTGCTCCTGATCAATAATGTGCTCATTATGTTTTAATCACCTCCACCATTGTTCTTAACGAGAGTCTTAATGGTTATTCCTGGTTAATCTGTACGTGTTTTTCCACCTTTAAGGGCAGCCGTTTTCCTCTGCTTTGCTTTGAGCATCATTGAACTTCAGCTGCAATTAAGGTTGTATAAAGTTTACAATTATCATACAATTCAACTATGGTCGAGAAAAGATTGCTTTAAAAAAGAAAAGAAAATAAGGTTAACAATGTTATTTATTTGTATAATTATTAATTTGTATAATTACTACTATAGTTTTTCTGTTCTCATTTTTTACTTAAAATGTAATTGAACTTAAATAATAATAATTCAGAACATTTCTTTTTAAATCCTAAGGTTTTATTAAATAAGCCAGTGAAATACACAAATGGGGGGACACATCTAAAAAACGGTTTCTCTCAAATGCACAAAAGAAATGTCAAAGTCATGAGCTGGAACTATGAGAGTGAAAGTATTGTGAGACACTGCCACCTACAGGTCAGCTCTGTCTAATGCATGCACCAAAGCACAGTTAATACGATTTCTGCACATTATTCAAGTGGTGGAAGAAAATACTGAACACTGCACTGAAACACACGTCATGCATTCAGGATCAAGCTTGTAATAAATGCAGATTATAGTATTTCTACATTTGTTCAGTAAAGAATCTGAGTACTTTTCCCACAACTGTTATCAGGTTAACCAGAAGGCAGACTTCCATCCGCACATTTTAAGACACTGAGCTTTTCTCCTCTTGTGTTTTCACCAAGAAGCAGATTGTTTTTATCAGCTGATTGTAATCTCCTGACCTGTGTGACAACACGATATACTCTCAATGTTTTCACCAGCCAAACCAGCGGAACAAAGACTGTGTGTTTGCTTTATTTACTGAAACATGTAAGGCATTTAGCTAACACTCCCCCCTCCCACCACATCCTCAAATCATCATTAAGAGCCACAGGAGGAAACCCACATCTCACTGAAATAACAAAAAAACAGCAGCTCAGTTCAAGCATTTTGTTCCTTTTACAAACAGATTAACTGTATTATTTCAGGCACAAACCTATTGCTATTTTATGATTCTAAAAACATTAAACACACTATATGCGTCATACATTTTTGTGCATGTTTAAGCTAACTATTTTTTTTCTGTGGTTTTAATTCCCTACTGTTTTAGCAAAGACCTGTTGCTTTAGTAAAACCACATTAACGACGAGCTGGAGACTGATTGTTTGCTCATGGTGGAGTGCAATGAATCGTGTAAAGTTCCTTGTGGCTACTTATGTTGAGGATGTAAACAGAGACCTAATCCTTTTATTTAAAGGTGGCCTATTGTTCTAATTTTCAGGTTTCATATTTGTATTTTGTGTCTCTACTGCAGTGGTTCTCTAAGTGGAGGGCACGCCCCCCCTGGGGGTCGCAGAGGCATGCCAGGAGGGGGGGCACGAGAGACCAGGAGGAAAAATGGTTATAACATTTATTTTTTTTAAAGAAAAATCATAAATTGAAAAATTATTTATTCGAAAATAATATGATGCAGTACTATTACGACTGGCTCTCTGTGTTTCATTAAAGCTCGGCTGGCGGCGGACTTTGCGTGTGACCACGCGCGCCAGTCGGACCGCCCGCTGTATGACCAGGGAACCCCTGCGCTGGTGTTGTCTATCGCCGTGGCAGGCCGGCTAGTTCAACCGGACTGGATTTGGGTTTTCTTGCGGCAGTCCGAGCCGAGGTCTCCGCTTTTTGCTCCTTATCCATATCTCTTTTGGTAGGAGGCACTTAGGAGGTGGAATCACCCTGGTCCCTTGTTTCCACCTGTGTGGCCTCGGGAGTCCCAGAGCCCAAGCGGTCGATGTGTTGTTGGTTCTGTGGGAGGGACCGCATGGGTGTTGTTATGAATGACTGTCTCCCTTCGCGCCGGGTCTGGGCCTTAGTGAGAGCTGGTGTTCGTCGCGCGTTTGGTTTGTGCCTGCTGTGTGTGCTCGGGTACAGCAGTCTGGTTTGGAGAGGTGCGGTGACTGATCCCCTGTGCCCCTCTGAGACGTCCGCGTGTACTCCCTGTTGTGGCCT